CCTCCCCTCCCCTTCCTCCCCGCTTCCACTCCTCCCTCTCCTCTCTTCCTTCACCCCTTCCTCCCCTCCCTCCCTTTTCTCCCTTCACCCCTTCCTCTCCTCTCTCCCTCACCTTCTTCCCTCCCCTCCCTCCCCTCTTCCACTCCTCCCTCCCCTCTCTTCCCTTCTCCCACCCTTCCCTCTCTCCCCCCCCAACTTCCTCTCTGTGCCTCCCCTTCCCCATCCCTCCCTCCCTTCCTCCCTCCTTCCCTCATTTATTGCTGTCTCCTCAGGAAGGGTTGATTGAGCCCCGGCCACATGCTGAGGACATGGTCCTCTTGCTGGGCTGCCTTCCCTGCTCCTTTCTTACTTAGCATGTTCCCAGAGCTCCTGTGACGTCAGCTACTGACCGCCCCGGGGTATTAGGCAAAGCCCCTCCCTCTCTCCCTCATTTCAGCCTGTCAACTTGTTGCAGGAAGTGGGCCACACTTCATTCACACTTTCATTCACACTTTCATTCCTTGGCTTTCTGAGTGGATTTGATCTCAGATGCGCATTCTGAGTCCCAGCTGGGTCGCGGGAGGAATGAATAGTAACAATGATAGTAAAGATAAGATATGACGTTCGTTCGTGGTTATTGTGCAGAGTTTACTGATTTAATTACAGAGCTTAATAATGGCTCATTGTATGGGGCACCTGGGTGGTGCAGTCGGTTAAGCGTCCGACTTCAGCCAGGTCACGATCTCGCGGTCTGTGAGTTTGAGCCCCGCGTCAGGCTCTGGGCTGATGGCTCAGAGCCTGGAGCCTGTTTCCGATTCTGTGTCTCCCTCTCTCTCTGCCCCTCCCCCGTTCATGCTCTGTCTCTCTCTGTCCCAAAACTAAATAAAAACGTTGAAAAAAAAATTTAATAAAAAAAATAATAATGGCTCATTGTAGACAGTAAATGACAACTTTTTATTGAAGTCCCTCCGTATACATACTACTATACCGGGTAACAACTTTCACAAAAGAAAGAAGTGTTTTTGAACAGACCTCCTTCTACTGTATTGAATTAAATCTCTCGTAATCTCTGGCTGACTTTTAGAAACTTATATTCTTTTTAAAATTACAATAATTTAATTTTATTAGTTCTTTTATTACACGGCATGTGGCAACATGTTTAAGGAAGTTTGAGCTATCCCGTAAGAAATTAGTGAGCTTTTGGGGGCGCCTGGGTGTCTCAGTCGGCTGAGTGTCCGACTTCGGCTCAGGTCATGATCTCGCGGTTCGGTTCATGAGTTCGGGTCCCACGTCGGGCTCTGTGCTGACAGCTCAGCGCCTGGAGCCCGCTTCGGATTCTGTGTCTCCCTCTCTCTCTGCCCTTCCCCCGCTCCGCTCCCACATGTTCTCTCTCAAAAATAAATAAACATAAAAAAAAAGAAAGTCGAACCCATGTTGTGGTGGACGAAGCCCTGGTGACCCGGTGGCTTCCGCAACCAGGGTTCCGCCTCCAGTGCTGACAAATGGGTGTCCGGCTGCCTCCTGGAGAGCCGACCCTAGGTGTCGATCGATCATTGGTTCCTTCCCCCAATGACACGCCATTACCTGCTGGAACTGCCCCCGTTTACCTCTGTCACCGGTACGAACTTTGCCGCTGTGCCCCGCTTTCCTCCCCACGCACAGCTCTTGGCTCTCCCGTGCCTGAAGTCCACAGGTAAGAATTTCCTCCCCTTTTCTCGCACGTGTCCTGATCCCACGGTCGCCAACACGGGCCATACTCCCCAGCCCTCTCTCTTACTCGTGTTAACCTTTACGTTGGGAATGACCTTTATTTCGGATGGAATTGTTGTCCTTAAGGCCAGTCTCAGAAACCAACTTCTCAAGAGATCCTTTCTCGATATCAGGAAATAGAGGTGACTTCCGGCAAGCGGTCTTATTTTACGTGGCCAAACTCTGCGGGACAGGCTGACACTTCACAGCTGAGGGGCCTGAAGCTTAGGACTAGAGGCTTTGAGAATGAACAGACAGAATAAACCCTCAGGTCCGGAAGCAGAGTGAATGCCAAGATGTGCTAGTAGATGCTTAACAACTGACTCTCCCTTTATTTTTTTTTTTTTAATTTTTTTTCAACGTTTTTATTTATTTTTGGGACAGAGAGAGACAGAGCATGAACGGGGAGGGGCAGAGAGAGAGGGAGACACAGAATCGGAAACAGGCTCCAGGCTCCGAGCCGTCCGCCCAGAGCCTGACGCGGGGCTCGAACTCACGGACCGCGAGATCGTGACCTGGCTGAAGTCGGACGCTTAACCGACTGCGCCACCCAGGCGCCCCCTGACTCTCCCTTTAAATACGAAGCCCTACTTGATAGCAGTTGGGGATGTCCATAGAGTTTCCCACTGCAGTGGATTTCAAGCTGCGGATGGGATGTGATGGGAGTTTCTAGCTCACGAGGGCTGTTTTTTACACCAGGCCCTGGGGGGACAGTTGGTTGACTTGAACCTGTCATCCTCTTCCCTCAGCTCTTTTATACCATTAAAAAAAAATCTGACTCCAGAATCTTTAAAAGTACCATTTTCCCCATCTCCAATGCTAGAGAGATGGCCCAAGCCGGGCCCCCCTCCCTCCACGTGTCCTCTCCCACTTTGTCCTATCCACCTGCCGCTGCACCCGCCAGCATTGAGACCACCCCACTCCCATCAGCAACGGCTCCTCCCTGCCATTTGGCTGGTGAGCCATCCAATTCCGGGGCCCCATCCCTAGGACCTGCTTTACATGACCGAGCCTGGGGTAACTGTCTTGGTTCCAGTGCCCCGGAAGCAGACCCTAAGACATAAAATTGAGAGGGGACCCCAGCAAACGGCACAGGGGGGTGGGGGCAATGGGACAAGGCAGGTTGGGATCCTGTAGAGGCTGTGCTATCAGGCAGATTTCTAGTTAACTGGCTCTCAGGTCGGGACCATGGAGGCTAGTGTTGAAGTGCCCTCCCTTCCCCCACTGGGGAGCATGTCGCGGGGCCTTATCCACTTACACCAGGGGTTGAGGTGCACTCAGGAGGGGGTGTTTCCCTGGCACTGCAGGGCTTCCCCAAACACGGGCAGGGCAAGCTCTGGTGGCCAGAAAACCCGCAGGCAGATCACCTTGGGGTCTGGCAGTTGGAGGATGGTCCAGGGAGCAGGAAAAGGTTCATTTCAAAGGCTTGTGGGCTTTGCCTAACAGACCTGTTACACCCCTAATATTGTGAATGCTGTGGATGGTTTTCCGGTCAACCTACAAAGTTTGAAAGATGTAATTAGGGAAAGAATGTAAATCCTTGACTATAAAAACAAGAATCAAACTGACATTAGGACCGGTGATGTGGGGGAGGGAGGGGGCGGGGAGCCGAGAGAGTGCAGATATGCTAATTTCCACATCTCCTAGGGCAGGGAGGCAGCAGGTCATGTGTGAAATGGACAAATGATGAGTTAGGTAGACAGTTCAAAGTCACACAATCCCCACCAGTGAAATGAAAAGTAACACAATTTTAAGAATTAGGAGTTGGAAGATAAAGTTTTATTCTTTGGAAGACACCATTCCTGGTTGGGTCAAGATGTAAGTGTATAGCGTTTAGACTGATATGAAAAGAACCAGGGGAACTAAAAACAAACTTTATGGTGGTTGGGTCTAGGGTGTGGTCCTGGGTGGTGGGTAGGTGAGCAGGAAAGATGTGCACACTTTCAGTTTTAATATTTTCCCATTTTGTTTGGATTTTTTGGGTAGATTCCTCAACAACTATTTTATAAATACTTAATGATGAATAACCTGAGTGTCAGGACAATTGTATTTTGCTAGAAAAGATTTTCTTTTTCAGTTCCAGTTGGTTAACGTACAGCGTGATATTAGTTTCGGGTGTTCGATATAGTGATTCAGTCCTTCCCTACCTCACCTTGTGCCCATGACAAGTGTATTTTGTTCGGATTTGTCATCATCAGTACGCATTACTTCCACGGTAACCAGAACAAATTCAAACACATCCTAGCGTAATTACAAAAACTAGTATTTGGAGCACCCTTACACCGAATACTATGCGGGAATTAAAGAATGAGGTAGAATCTATGTGTACATAGAACCTATGTGTACAAAATCAAAAGATAGTCAGGACTTATTAAGTGAAACCAGTAAATTAAAAAGTAAGCATAGGATGAAAATTATGGAAGGGGAGAAGTATGTGTGTATGTAACATTTCTATATACAATTTTATTTTATTTTTTTTTAATGTTTATTTATTTTTGAGACAGAGAGAGACAGAGCATGAACGGGGGAGGGGCAGAGAGAGAGGGAGACACAGAATCGGAAGCAGGCTCCAGGCTCTGAGCCATCAGCCCAGAGCCCGACGTGGGGCTCGAACTCACGGACCGCGAGATCGTGACCTGAGCCGAAGTAGGACGCTCAGCCGAGTGAGCCACCCAGGCGCCCCTCTATATACAATTTTAAAAGACGCTACTGGTGGGGAGAAGAGGCGACCCAGTGAGACCCAGTGAG